GGAGGGTCCAGGGAGGGCCCAGGGCGGGGCCCGAGGCCGGGCAAGCTCAGCCTCCGGGGGGCGCGGGGAGAAGGCGCTCAGGCCAGGGGCTCCTCGGGTATTTCACTGCTCTGCGTGGGTGCCTGCTTTCCTCTCGGCAAGATCCTGTGTCCTCAGCAGGCTTCCTGCCCAGTGTGTGACCCAAAGGAGGGTCTCAGCGCCCCTGGGGTGGGTGACTCCTAAGTCCACGCATCTGCCCAGACCTCACCCTTGGGCTCCAGACAGCCTCTGGCATCTCCGCCTGGACCTCCAAAAATAACCCCAGCCCAGGGAGGGGGCAGACGCTGGGGGTATTTCTGGCAGGCGGGCCACTTCTCTGAGTCAGGGAGGGGGTGGGACCCAAGCTTGGCCTGGAGACTTTAACTCCCTCCAGGACACACGCAGCCTTTCCGGCAGGCGAGCCCTTCTCACTGGAGGAAACCGGGGTCACGCTACTGGTGGCCCAGGCCCCCAGTGGGAGGCAGCCTGGGTAGCCAGGGGCAAGTCCACCGGTCCCTGAGGGGGCACTCAAAGGGTGGGGGCCAGAGGCCTGAGCCTCCCCGCTCTGGGTGCTCAGCCCCCAGGCCTGCCCGGGACGGATGCTCCATGGGCCTCAGGGCAGCGAGGCCAGGCAGGGGCTGGGGCCTGGAACCTTTCCTGTGGGAGCCTGGACTCCCAGGTGGGGTGTGGAGGGTCCCAGAGTCAGTGCTGGGCACTCGGGAGCAAAGGGCTCATCTCCCTCCCCCCTCCCGCTCAGGCCCAGCTGCTCTGCTGGTTCGGCTTTTGGGAGGAACAGGGGGACGATGACAGCAACACTGGCAGGGCTCCTCCGTCCCCACTCATGGGAGGGGCCCTCACCAAGCCCTTTGGGTGGCCCTGGACCCTGAGGGGAGAGTCGGTGGTGCCAGTCACGATGTCGCTGATGATGGTGCCAACTCACCCTGAGTGCCTGCGTGTGGCCTGCCCTGGGCCCAGCTGTACTGTAACCCGGGCCCCTGTCTACGGACTAGGCCCAAGAGGTGGGGCTCACTGCCCCTGGGAGGCCTCCCTGCTGCTGTGCGCCCAAGAGCCTGAGGAGCCTGCCCACCAGCTCCATGTCCCCTGGGCCACCCCCACCCCTCTCACACACCAGACAACAGCAGTTCTTTGGGCCCCTCCCAGAGGTGGGTGGAACCCAGGAACCCAAGGTACCTAGGGGCTGCCCACCCCCCCACACACACCCTGGACACACCAGTGCAGCTGGACAGCCTCTCGAGCCTCTCTGCTGGCTGGGAGTCTGAAGACTGGAGGTCCCCCAAGGCCACCCAGGTGGCCGTCAGCTTAGGTGCCCAGGCAGGATGGGGCCCTGGGTGTGGGAAACCAGCTCCCAGAGCTGCGTGGAGCGTGTGGGGGGGGAGCCCATGTGTGCGCGGTTGTGAGCTTGTGCTTGTGTGTATGTGAGCTGACACGTGTGAGCCCGTGTGTGTGTGTGTGTGTGTGTGTGTGTGTGTACTCATGTCCTCTGTATCTCCGTTTCTGTGGTCTCCTGTCTCAGGTATGAGGCTGCGTGTAGTGGTCTCGGGGTCCACGTCCACTGTCTCAGGCTGCGTGGATCTGGGGTGTCTGTCTGACCCGAGCTGTAAGGGGGTGTCAGTCTAACCTCAGGCAGGGGACCGACCCCGGAAGTATCACAAGGCCCACGGGTGCCCGTCCCCTGCGGAGCATCACGCATTCCGCCCTCACTCCGACGTCCAGCCAGGTTAGGTGGCCTGCCCAAGGCCACACACCCAGGAGGTGTGTCCATCCAATGTGGACATCACGGTCCTTCTTCAAGTCCTGGCCACGAGGCCCCAGGTGAGGCTCCCTGTTTGAGACCATCCTGCTTTATTT